TAGATATGTTGCTATCGCTGAGCTGCAATGTACTTTTGACATTACAGTTCCTATCTTTAGAATCTTGCCTCCATTGTTTACATTGGTTTGTGGCTCTCCATTATCCTGCACTGCTATCCAATAGCTGAAACACACCTGGAGAAGCTGCAGCACCCTTGACCTTTAATGCTTGTTTCTGAGATGGTAGCAGTTTGTTTTCCTGTTTAATCTTTCCCAGCCTGGACTCCAACTTTGATAGTAAAATTTTCCATTCCAGTGAAAAGCTGAAATGATCAGCTGGGCTTTAGCATATGTCAGAGTACTGAGGAACACACAGCACTTAGGATGCTGGTTCAGGATCCCTGCTGCAGAGCATGCACATGGAAGGGGGTACAGCATCGGTCTCATAAATGCCTAACAAACCATTGCAGAGGGTCTGTTTTGTGACTTGTAGAAGGCTTTATACTAAATTTGGTCCTGCTCTTTGCTAACTATGTGGACACACTATATTTACATAAGCAGTTATATAGCCCAACTTGCATTTATTTTTATGTTAGAAAATGATGGATGACACAGTTTTTATTTACTAGATTAATGTTTTACTTGTGGCTCTATTTGGATGGAAATTAAAATTCAGTTTAAAAACACAAAAACAGCATTTAATTTTTGATAAAATAAAACTATCTTGAATGTGCTTGATACTTTCTTCCTTAGGTTTATCAAAACATATTTTGCAGTTAAAACTGATTTGTTAAACATAGGAAATATTATCTATAGTTGTTGAATTGAACTGATTATTTCTGGTCACTGTGTCCTTATTTTTAGAACTAGTAGATCTCATCATCACACCTAACTTTTATTCATTGATTGGAAGAAGAGAACAAGTTTTCCTGCTTCTTCAGCTCCCAATTCATTTCTTAACTTTGAATGAACTAGTCATTGATCTGAACTAAGGGAATAAAGTGAAATGAAGAAAATATTCTCTGGAGAGAGGCTCCTACTGTCAAAATCTGGTTTAGTGCTTCAACAAACTCTGGTTCCTGGTGCTTAACCAGTGCTTTTTCCCCAGTTCAGTGAGTTAACTTTCTTTAAAACCTCCAACAGCAAACATGTACTACTTAATACTATTTTTATAATTATTTAAGTTATTTTAATAGGTCATAAGTTTAGGTCTTAACAAGTTGTCAATTTTAAAATTAAATTTTAAAGTTATTTAAAAAAACCTTTATTAATTGTTTCTCCTGAGAAACAGGGCAAGATGGAATCTTACAAGCAGCTGGTTAGGTGGTATTGCACAGAAGCCTGATTGATAAGCTGTTTTAAGTGTTATTCAAACCATTTGTTTTAATACTTTGTATGTAATTTCCATAGGTTATTGGTGAACTGAACGGAAACAATATAGAGGATGTCATTGCTCAGGGTAAGTAAAATCTCATGGCGTTGGCATGGGGGTGACATTTATGATGATTGCCTCTCTAGTTCATTTACTAATTTAAAGACCCTTAAGGGCAGAGAATTACCAGATTTTGTTTTTTCCTCATTTTGTTTTTTCTTCATTAAATCAGACTTGCTTTAGAGGGCTCTCAATTAAGATACAAATTGGGATAAATCAGATAATGGGTAGGGGTCCATCCTAATGCCTGCAGGTCAGTGCCAGTACCTGCTAGGTTTCACTTGTGGACCAGATTAAACTGGAAAGTGCTCTTAAATATGAGTTTACAGTTAGTCTGCTCGTAACAAGAGTTTTCTGGACATGTTGCTAGGTGGGAGAATGAGCCAGACTTTAGCATTCTAAATTGTAGTTCTTGGTTTACCCAATTGTGTTCTTGAACTTTCTTTTGCAGAGAAGTCACTTCATGAACTAAACACTTCATTCACAAGCCTTCTGTTCTTTATTTCAGGGAGACCTAGAAATGATCAATCTTATTGAGAGAGAACACTGAAGTGAAAAATCACATTTTATTTTCAGTGCAAAATGAATAAATATGAATTTAGAAAGGCACAACAATTTGAATGTTCCACTTGTGGAATATTTTGCTCTGACCAAATACTTTGTTTTTAGATAGCATGTGGAATACTTCAAGTAGCCCAAAGCTCTAATGATTTAATCCCCATTCCTTCAAACACTTAAGCATGTGAGTAAAGTTACAAAAATATCTGCTTAAGTGCGCACAGGATCAGGCCTTAATGATGATCAGTAAGTACAGCAGTTATTAGCTACTTCTGTGAATGTTGTATAAAGATCTGAGAGAGCCATTATGCATGCACTTACCCAACAGACTTAAAATAATTTAGTTGACTGCTGATGGAATAATTTTATTTTAGAAATACAGTAGAATCTCAGTTATGAACTGACCAGTCAACCACACATCTCATTTGGAACCAGAAGTACATAATCAGGCAGTGGCAGAGACCCAATAAAAAACAAAGAAACAAACAAAAATACAGTACAGTGTTAAACATAAACTATTCTAAAAAAAGGGAAAGCAGAATCTTTCTTCTGCATAGTAAAGTTTCAAAGATGTATTAAGTCAGTGTTCAGTTGTAAACTTTTGAAAGAAGAACCATAATGTTTTGTTCAGTGTTATGAACATTCATAGTTACAAACAGCCTCCATTCCTGAGATGTTTGTAACTGAGGTTC